CTGTACTTCACACAGCGCGACGTGTGAGGGCTCGCGCTCTTCAGAGACAATCACAGAATATGACGGAGCTCGTGTTTTAAAGCAAAACACAGTGGAATGAATAATTCACTGAAAATGCTACGCGAGTCTGTTCTCTCAGCAATCTCTGATGTAATCAGCTTGGTTTCCTTTATATTAGCGGCAGATATTCTCCAAAATGGCACCAGGGTGATGCAGAGGAGACGAATTGTTGAATAAAGTTTTTTTTTTCTTTCTTTTGCGCACAAAAAGTATTCTCGTAGCTTCGTATAATTGCGGATGAACCACAGATGTCACATGGATTATTTTACAGATCTCCTGGCTACGTTTCTGGACTTGGGAACATTTCAGTTGTATTGCTGTCTATGTAGGGTCAGACAGCTCTCAGATTCCACCAAAAATATCTTAATTTGTGTTCTGAAGATGAACGAAGGTTTTACGGGTTTGAAACGACATGAGGGTGAGTAATTAATGACAGAATTTTTGGGTGAACTAACTCTTTAAATACTTATGGCCCTATTTTAACGCTCATGGTCTAAAGTGCATGGCGCAGGTGCACTCAGGGCGTGTCCGAATCCACTTTTGCTAGTTTAACGACAGGAAAACTGTCGGCACGCCCAGGCATATGGTCTAAACGGGTTGTCCCTATTCTCTTAATGAGTAATTGGATCATTGGACTGAAAACTTTCCCGGAATTTAGCGGCTTAAAATGATCTGATCGCAAACAGAGAAGCAAAATTGGGTTAAATGGTTAGAATAGAAATTGTGCTTCAGTAATTTAGCTTTAATTGCGTTAAATTATTTTAACACATTGTCCCTATTCTCTTAATGAGTAATGGGTGTTTTTTGGGTGTAACGTGCAATAAACCAATCAGAGTCTCATCTCCCATCCCCTTTAAAAGCCAGTTGTGCTCGCGCCATGGTGGGTTCGCTGTTTACATGGCGGAATGTAATTTTTCATTTTTAAAAATGTTTGTGTGCTGCTGCACGGCCCTGTGTGTGTAATAAGCAAAGTGTGCGTGCGTTGTGCACCCGCCTATAGGTGCATATCACTAACGCGCTTTTTAAATAACAAAGAAAAATATTGCGCCAGACTTTAGACCAGGTTTGACTTGGTCTATGGCACAGTCTATTTTCAGTTCCTCAAAATAACAATGCGCCAAAAATGTGCCTGAACACACCTCTTTTTTTTTCTTTTTTTTTAGACCAGCATGCCCATGGGTGCACAAATGGGCGCAAATGCATTTGCTACTTAAACAACGCGGCGCAGGACGGGAAAATGAGAACTGCGTCGGGCTGAAACTAGCAAAAACACTTGCGCCGGGTGTATGATAGGGCCCTTAGACTTAAACGACTAGGCCTATTTATTTTCAAACTTTTTTTACATTTTAATCTGGACTACAACATTCCCATGTTTTGTTTGAAAATGTTTTGATTCTTTATTCGGTCACAGTCACACTTTACAATAAGGCTCCATTATTTAACATTGGTTTATTAGTTAACATAAACTGCTAATAATAATAAAAAAAAATTCTAAAACATCTATTAATCTTAGTTAATTTCAACATTTAATAACATGTTATTAAACTCAAAAGTTGTAACCGTATTATTTAATGGACCCGGGCTAACATGAAAAGCTGTAGTATTATTATTATTATTATTATTATTATTTATTTATTTTTTTTACAAAGAATAATAACTTCTGTAACAAATGTAGCTATTGCTCATAGTTAATGTCAATGCATTAATTAAGCTTGCATAATGAGACCTTATTGTAAGTTATTTTTACTTTATACATTTTTGTGTATTGCTTTATTGTATTTAAATGTCCTGTTATTTATGCTAGATTAAAAAGTTATCAAATCTGTTATATTATGGCATCACTTTTTTTCAGTTTTCAATATCGGGATAATGCCATATACCATGATAAAAACATGAACATTTTATACCGTCAGATGCCTAAAATGCTATAG